AGAGAGAGAGATAGATAGATAGATAGATAGATAGATAGATAGATAGATAGATAGATAGATAGATAGATAAAGAACGAGAGAGAGAGTGGGGCGGGAGAGAGGGGAATTAAGAGAGATAGAGATAGAGATCAATCGATAGATAGATAGATAGATAGATAGAGAGAGAGAGAGAGAGAGAAAGAGAGATTGAGAGAGTCAGAGAGAACAGAGGAACTGGGGGATGCCTGGCCAACCCGTATCTCCAACACGACTCAAAGAAAAAATCACTTACACCAGATTGCTCCAATTGGCCACAGTGCGAACGTTCTATATAGTTCTTCTCGCGTTCAGAGATCCTCGGATGGCAGGCCGGTGTGTCGTACGCAAAGATTATCCAAAATATGAACCATATTAACCCAATGATGCCTGTTAAAATACAAAATCCATTGAAACCTATACCACCGTCAATGATGAAACAAATTAATAAAACCGCAAATTATAAGACCGTATCATTTATTATCGCGTATATGTTTTTTCTGGATAAGTCAGTGAATATTAGGAATTGTTTGGTTGCCACGCGCCTTGGGATATAATAAATATGATAGAATGATATTTAATTATCTATTCTAATAGCCAGGCACATCGCGGTAGCTCAACCGTTTAGCCCTGGTGGCATAGACTGTCGCCCGGGGCTAGAGCAGGCTTCATGGCTGGATCCCATCTTGATGTGAAAAAGGAAACCGATGGAACGTTTGAGGTGGCCGATATTTCTTACGCGTGTAACTATTGCCGCAACAAATATTGCGACCATGACAGTCAACGGATTAAACAACAAAAATTGAAAATTTATATGAAGTCAAACATAAGTGAGCAGACATGTTTATAGGACAGACGCTCGTCTATAAAATAATGTCAATTTTAGCATTTTCCCAGAGTAGCAGTTGTGCCGATAAACTAGCTCTGTAGAACGCAAAGATGTCTATAAGTGGCCAATTTAGGGTTTCCCCTGCGTTGTCCTTATATACAGGATTGACTGCACGCGCGTACACCTAATATTCAGACTATAAACGATTGCTAAAACAATTTAAATAAAAACTTAAATTGCTATAAACGAAAAGCCGTTACAGATTTACCAAAGAAAAAGAATATGGATTCCCAGCCAAGCCAGTCGCAGAGTAATCCGGACATGGGTAATGCCAAAATGTTTCCGGCTTGATTGCCGGCGTACGAATACGCGACTAGCATGCTTCGTTCCAACGGCGGTGCCCACTCCGACCAGATATGATGTTGCGCAGGAAAAACGACGCCCTAAAGAGGTTGTCAGCGTCAAACATTTACGATCAGTTAAACGTGGGTATAGTTGTTTCATTCGCACGCACAAGTGAGTGCCTGCCTGTGCAGCTAATGCTGTAATGGTACTAACGCGAGGCGAAATGCTGCAGCAACTGCTCACCCAGTCTAGCGGAGATCATGAAGACATTAACCAACACCTACCCCCTACCTAAGCGTACCTACGAAACTAAACTAGACGCTGGCTCAATTGGCACCAATTATAAGTGTACTAAGCGTATAACGAGTGAGGATATGGTATACATCATAATCCATTCGGAGGTCGGACATGTCTTGCTTCTCAATGTGAAAACGGTGTAACTCCAAAGGATTAACTACAACATTCGCTTCAGACTGTGAGCACATGCCTAATTGTGCCCCGATGGAGAGATGAAGAGACTGTGAGTGTACATATATAAGATATATATATATATATATATATATGTGTGTGTGTGTGTTGTGTGTGTGTGGTGTGTTGTTGTGTGTGTGTGTGGTGTGGTGTGTGTGTGTGTGTTGTTGTGTGTGGTGTGTGTGTTAGTGTGCTATGTATGTGTTGCGTGCGCGCGTGCGTGCGTGCGTGCGTGGCGTGCGTGCGTGCGTGCGTGCGTGCGTGCGTGCGTATGTGGCAGGTTGAATCAGTCATTAAATGAAGTCGTTTCGTTATTCCCGTATGTGGATGGCACGATCCGTGATTCATGCGTCACATGCAGCGTACAGGTCTATACCTGACAGGCTCCCTCCAAGATACGCGCCAGCACGAGCAGGCCGTAGTGCGCGTGTGCGAGCACGGGCGTCAGGGCCGTCAGTATGGTACACATCAACATAGCGTAGCCAAACACACGCGTCCCGCCGACAGCCCTGGAGATGTACCCGCCCGGAATCTGCGTCAGCATGTATCCCCAGAAGAATGAGCTGAGAACAAGACCCGTGCTGGACTTGTCCCAAGTAAACGGCCCCATCCTGAAACACGGAACACGGCACGCCTGGGGGTGCAACATCAGTTCTGCGATTTATGTTCGGACCAGTATAGTTATGTGCGCTTGAATTGAGATTTCGTGTGAACAATGTATACGTACACGGCAATAAATACGCGACGTGTATATACGAATACGTACACGCGCGGACGGACGCACACGCCGCGACGCCACCGCACACCATACAGGCACGCGCCACACCGCACATGCCACACGCAGCACACACGCCACGCACACACGCAGCGCACAACTCAGCAAGGCACACCTTACACACGCACACACGCACACCACGCCCACACAACCACACACACACCCACGCACACGCCACGCACGCAATCGCACGCACAACACACACACACACAACACCACACACACACACACACCACGACAACATACACACACGACGCGCGGCGCACGCACACACACAACACACACACACACACATACACACACACGCACGCACGCACACACACACACACGCTGCTGCGCGCGCCACACACACACACACACACACAACACACATACACGCGCGCACACAACACACGCACACGCACAACGCCACACGCACACGCACACACACACACACACACAGCACACATATCACACACGCACACACACACAAACACACACGCCCTTTGCTGCGGGGGGGGGGGGGGGGGGGGGGGGGGGGGGGGGGGGGGGGGAATACTAGTATTATCGTTTAATTACTTCAAGCATGATCCGTTGAGTTGCTTTCCAACGCACGAACCCAGGCCTAGTAGCTGCTGCTGTCTACAGCATCGGACAAGCCGTTGTTGGTTGACCACGCACGAACCCAGGCCTAGTACTGCTGCCTGGCTCAGGCATCGACAGCCGTGGGTTGACACATACACACACGATGGCCGAACACTCATGTTGATTCCTCTGCGCGCTAGACATTGGCGCAGCGAAGAAGCCAAGGATGCAGAGGAAAGAAACGAAAAAAAAACCTGCAGGATCTCCATAACGGCGCTACACACACAGACCGACAAGCGCTGCCCTAATAAGTTTTATTTATTGATTATTTTTTACCTAGATTTTTTTGCGAACGAGCATTTGCCGGCGCTCTTTAACTTGACTGTGACGTTCAGCGTTACATCGGATCACAATCTGTCGTGTTGTACTGCACAATTGGTCACCGCTATTCGCTGTGAGAGGCAATCGTGTGTATGCTGGTATATTAATAGCAAGCACGCGATGGCGCAAACGCACGCAATTCGTTATACACGCGCACACGCAGCGATGCACAAGTAGCAAGCAATCGCAACACGCAGCAACAACCAGCAACAAGCAGGCAACAACAGCAACAACCAGCAACAACAGACAACCAGCAGCAGCAGCAACAACCAGCAAACAACGCACAACAACCATCAACAACCAGGCAACAACCAGGCCACAAGCAGCAACAGAGCCAGCAACAACCAGCAATAAGCAGGCAACAATCAGCAACACGCCAGCAACACACAGCAATAACGAACACGCACAACAAGCGCGTGTGGCAAAGCAACATGCATGCATTTACATGCACATAATCTACACATATATGTCACAGTTATCTAGTGATAAAGATAGTGTGTTCATTGATTCATTTCAAAATTAAACACAAGACTGATAATTTATGCCTCGCGACTGAGCGTCTCACAATACTATCATAAAATTCGAATTACATACATCCTACTAAACATGGCATCGCTGTCATCCAAATAGGAAATACTGGCTGCATGCATTAATCGTATCACCAAAGGCCCGTAGTCAGGGGGGGGGTTCGCGGGGGTTCGAAACGATATCCCCCCGAGCGCCCCCTCCCCAAGCCGAAAAAATAAAAGTGTTGGAAAATTTGCCAAGAATTTTCACCTCAGGTCGCTCCATTTTAGCTTGTAATCAACTTGCAAAATCTCCATCGTGC